CCCCAAAACCCCAAAACCCCGCGCACTAATATTGAAAAGGAATATTCTAATAGCTATGTTTTAATTATGCAAATTACTCAGTTTGTAAATATTATTGATGTAGTAAAGAGAAAAACTATAATACCTCCAATTATTTCATAATTTGTGAATGTCTAGTTAAAAATTACTACGTCTCCTATTAATCCCCATATCAAACAGAAGAAATTCATACTTGCAATCAACCCTGCCTTCTCAATTTGCATTGATTTAAACAACAGCAAGTTAATCAATATTTCAAGAGCAGCAATGGAAAATAGCATCAAGTATCCAGTCATGTCTAAATATATGTTTTTACCTTATTCAAACATAACCAAGTAATTAATCACCACAAAAATGGCACTTATCAAGAAAATAACAAAGAATTTTAGCAAGCAGATAATCAGTAGGTTAGTCTCTTTTATTTTCTTGATGGATACAAAAGACACAGCCCCTGCTATCTCAGATCCAATAAGCATTACAACTCCCAGAAATTCATTCTATTTAGATGGCTCTGATTGTTTAAATGAATTTATTGACATCAATATTACACCACCTAGAGTTGCAAATATTATTATGATCTAAATGGGCTTTGGCAACTCTTTGACCAAGAAAAAGGCTACGATAATTGTAAATATAGGGAAAGTATTGTTAAGTAGGCTTCCCAAAGCTAGATATACATAGTTAATACCAGTAACCACTAGATAATTTGCACAGCATCCAAATAAAACTATTACGATTAACCATTTTCTCTCAGGAATAGAAATTTAAAATTGATCTAGTGCAATCTTATATTATGTTTTACTGAGAATTACTAAAGTAACTGCGATAATAATCATCTCAAAAGCTCCCTTATAAAACTAAATATCCAGGCTGTTTAACTTTGGATAGTTTATAAAAGTAAGTTTATAAAGCATGCCTATCATCACTTATATAAAGGAGTTCAAGATTGCTAGGGAAATGCCTTTGGTCAGATGTTTCTTCTCTTAAGTATTATTCTGTCTATAATTCTCTGATTAGTTCTTATTTGGGAGTAATGGAGTGTCCATTTTAAAACTATTTCGAGACTTAATTATGATAAATACTATTATATACTGAAATTAAATCAATTTGATTTCATGGGGTTTTGGGGTTTTGGGG